TCTGTAACTCTGAGCCTTCATTGTCCTTACTCCAGTTATATCATTAAGCATATTTTAGAATTGCATTGTTGAACAAGACAAATGCATGAAATCCCTACCCACGCCCTGGTCTTATGTGCAAAAACCTTTAACCTTTATGAACATACAACTTCACTCAAATTAGTTTTTTTTTTTGCAACAGTTTTATGATTTCTTATACCGTAAAACGGGGTGTTAAGGGACAGTTTTGAGGTGTTTTGTTATACAACTCAAGAAGGGTTGGGGATAGAAGCATCAACTTGTCAGCATTTTATGTGGAATTTGGTGCTTTACATGCCTGCTACATTAAAGTTTTAAAATATATACATGCATATTATTTTTTATTATTTTTCATCACTGTCCCTTAGCACCCCAATGTGGGGTGTTAAGGGACACCTATATTATTCCAAGAAATGGTCATCAAATGCCCACTATTTGGGTGTGAAAGGGCGCACAATTTATTCATTGAAATGTTTTGCATATTCTGTCACAAACAAGTCAGGTTCATTCACCACTAATGGCCTTTTTAGCCAATTACATGTAATGGAGTTTACGCTTCTGGAAGATGTGCTAATTATAAGGTAAACAGAACCAAAAAGTACCCTTCTGTCATCAACAAAAACCCAATTAAAAGCTAGGGTCTGTTCCCGTCGCTCCTCCCAAAAAATCTCGGATGAGGTTGGATGAGCTTGGAGGAGAGCCGTTTCAGAGGAGCCACGGGAACATTTTTGCGAGGAAATCAGCTGTTTGCGGGCTGTAACGGTCGGCGATTTATGGCGCGCAAACAGTAATTTAGAGTTAACAATCTCTTTCAAATCAAATAACCATATATTTATATCGAGCATTACTATTGAAAGATATCCCATCCTCATCGATCACTAAAATCAATTCCACTTCCCTCAAATCTCATTTATAAACAATCCACATTTGTATTACGTGCGTCAAATATGTCTACGCAGAGTCTCCTCCAAAAATCCAACTTTCGTTTGGGATGAGGGAGGAGGCAAATAGTGGTGGTGAGATGTGAAATCAAGATGAGCTTGGAGGAGCTTGGAGGAGCGACGGGAACGATTTTTTGAAACGAGAGGAGGTTAGAGGAGCTTGGAGGAGGTTGGAGGAGCGACGGGAACAAACCCTAGTCACTTGTCATTATGTTGCCCTCTTTGTTTTGGCCTTTTTATGATGACATCCCATTTACCTATATCAGTCCTCATTGACCCATCATTGTAAAAGAGAGTGTTAAGGGAGTTTTGAGGTGTTTTGTTATATAACTTAAGATGTGTTAGAGATGGAGGCATGAACTTGCCAGCATTTTATGTGGAATTTGATGTTTTCCATGCATACTGAAAGAAAACTTTATGAAATTAGATTTATATTTTATTTTTTATTTTTTCTTCCCTGTCCCTTAGCACACCACATCCACCTCAAAATATGCATGTGTCCAGAAAAGAGGAAGAGAATGATGAATGAATGGGTGGATTTGTATAAGTTTTTCAGGAAACATGTGAAATACATGTGACAATACACCTATGCATTCCTTTTACCTGTACACCTACTAGTTTATGTGGTACACACAGAGTTTTGGAGATGTCTCAATTTTGTGAAAACGTAGCATGATTTTCAAAACCATTTTTAAACCAAATCACTTGCATGAAAAACCATGCCATTTTGTCCAGTAGTCAAGAACAAAACAGTGTCAACAACCACACTCAAGTTTTTATTTAACCTTCTCAAATAAGGAACCTAACATGACTCAAAGTTTTTCCCACGCAACTGTCCCTTATCACCCCACTGTCCCTTAACACCCCATTTTACGGTACTTAAAATGATCAAAAAGAAAATAATCTTAATATTTACAAACATATTTTTGAAATATTTTCACATAGGAGGAACTATTTTTCATCTTTTTAATAGTGTTTGCAGCAGAAGTTTTTTATGTGTTGACCAATCATATTACGTACCAACACCTAGTTCAAAACAAAATGGAATGCTGATTGGCTGATGACTGGCCGCTGCCAGAGGTGGTTGCATTCTTTGGATTGTTGAGTAAGGCATTGAATTCCTCCTAAGGGAATGATTTCAGAACTAGAATTAATACATCTTTTGGTACGGCGATTGTTGGGGTGTAAAAGCTTCAGAATGATGCTATGTCTCAGCTCAAACTACAAAACTGCCATTCAAATTGAAAACCCCATGTTAAAAGTGGTAATTTTTCCTTGAAAGTCAAGGTAAGAAAAACTTAAGATATAAGTAGTGAATGGCCACCAATTATCAGCTTGCTGCTAGCACGCTGCAAGGTGCGTATATCAGTAGGTGGAACTATGGTCATGAGTACCCAAATATAGGAACGTTCCCATTTTTGGGAACAGAGTTCCCAAATATGGGAACGGGCGTTCCCATTTATGAGAACGGAAGGTAATTTTTCGGCCGTTCGCCCACTAAAACTCATTAGTGCATCACGTCTCAAAAAAGTGCACGCTAATTTAAGTATCTACTAAGTCTCTATAAAATTATCTTTAATCTGACCGTTGAACAAGGAAATTGACCGTCGAATGATATTTTTAACGATTTTTTGAAATGAGGGAATGGTGAAAACATTGGTTATACTACATTTAACATGCACTTTTAAGGAAAATGAAGCGTTTTTTACATTTTGAGGTCAAGTATAATAATTTTCGCCTGGTTATGAAGTTTCATATTAGCGACACCAGATGCTGACATATGCAAGCGAACACGCGGACAGTCCCGAGGTAATATTGTTGACTTTTGGTGTCGGGGCGCACGACCGCGTGGAACGTCAGTGATTTTACCGAACTACTGTTGTAAACTCAGTTTCAGTGGTTTAAAATTATTCAGCTGTGTTTTATCAGCCCGGAAAGACATTTTATTTGGATGCTAGCTGTTTAGCGTTGTTTTATAAGGAGCGTCATGAGCGTGGTTTTTGTCTTCCGTGTTTCTAAGCATGATCGTTTTGGGGGAATTTCTCTTATATAGGTCGCTCTGTGTGGCTTATTTATAATTTTTATGCTGATTTCGATCATTCCTCGTGCCCATCCTACCAGGCCTTTTGCCACTTACACTCATTAAGAAAGGAAAAAACTAGATTTTCATTGGGACTAGTGTTTTGAGGGTGTAACATATTCAGCGTTCCCATTTTTGGATACTTTCTTGTGCTCGTCAACTATCGGTGATAAACAGACAGGTGCTTGACATGTCTCCACCCTCGGCGCGGACGGTGGATATAAGTATGGAAGACCTTGTTGAACGTCGCTGAACGTTGTGAATTACGTAATCCTGCAGAGGGGGGCGTGCCCGCTGCGAGATCGACGGGAATAAAAGCGCAGAAGACCGGGCGAAACATGCGACGTTCTTGCCGGAAAGGTCATCTGATGATTGTTGCGTTAACAATAATTTGCGGCGTTGGACGTGATGCTTGTTAATGAAAAGAGCCCCTGAAAGGCGTCGGTGAAATCGTTCCCAATTTTGGATACGCCGTTCCCATAATAAGGAACGCTTGCAGCGCCAGTGTACGAGAGCGTTCCCAAATTTGGGCTCGCGGCCCGGATGATGGACTGCTTTAGAAATAGGAGAACGATTTGAAACTACGATGGGCCTTACAATATCAAACTCTTTCCCAACAATATTGAGACAAATATCAGGCGGTTCACGATCGTTTTATATTTTTTGGACGTCATTTAACGGTTCTTTTTCTTGTTTTAAATAATGCCTACATGGCGTTCCCATATTTGGGTTTCTCGTTCCCAAACATGGGAACGCAAATGCGTTCCCGAAAATGGGTACGCTTGACCATAGTTCCGCCTACTGATATCATGAGGCGGGTACCTGGAAACCTACCTGCAAATCATTAGTCTTTAATAAGCGAACAGCACAGCCTACAAAATGCTCATAAAAAAGATGGCAAAAATGCAAAGATACTGCCAGCATGCTGATAGATCAAGATAATTCAAGTTAAGTGCAAAATTACGACCAAATGAAAAAAACCGAAGACATTATTTAGCACCGCTGCAAGTAAAGCCCGAGTAATATTTATCTGATTCAAGAGTGCTAAGATTATCACTGAGTCGATTTGGACACGTGAAACGATTAATTAATATTCAAACAGGGCATGGGGAAACAATGCGGCGAACGTTTATCATTATGAAAGAACGTGGTCATTTCGTACCCATCATTCAGCCGAGGAAGTTTCCTAGCATGCATCACCATCAATGCCAGGTTATTTCATCGAGTTAATTACAGAAAATAAGTTGAAAACATCGATTAACCATACATGAAACGCTTGAATATCTAAACACAGACGCGCGTTATCCACTGCCGAACTCATTCGCCATTGCTCATCCGGGAACTCCGCTAAGCTCCGCCCCCAAATCCGACTTCACAGCGTTCTTGACGATCAGCTGATCGGTGAAATGCGCTGCTAAATTGTCGGGCACGGAAAAGCACGATGCAGACTGATGATTCACAAGTGTTTCTGTCAGAATTAGGATTTATGGGGTTAAGTGAACCATTGATTTGCTTCACTTGGTGATTTGAAAGGTTTCCATACCTGCTTTTTTGCTGTAAACTAAGGTATGGGTGAGTGATTGCCCAAAACTTGTTGCTCTTTTTAGGCTTAGCTAAGCAATAGCAATCTTCAGCCATTCAGCAACTGTAGGGTTAAAATATCAAGAGTCTGATACAGAAGTTCAAGAGACACAGCAGGTGCTGTTCAGTGCTGTTCCGTGATTGATACAGCTCCATTTGGAAGCAATGGTGTGCTGCACACAGCACGGTGGTACAGGTCAGCCATCTGGATGATCACAATCCAGCACGTGGCGCCACCGCGCCAACAGCTGTGCTCGCAGCTGAACAACAGTGAATGAATACTGAACAGCTAGTCGAAGGCCTGCACTTATCCCTGTTAGCAGATTGCCTGCTACACTAATGCCTCCTCCAGTCATTCCAAGTAGCCGCATACGACAGACTTTCACTAATACCAGACTTTATTTTGAATGCGGCGATTAAAGGCGGGACCAAGGCCCTCTGTAGGTACAGCCAATCGAGTGTGTTCAGGCATAGTATTGTTACGGTAACGTCTCTCTGGGATGTTATTGCCATTGCCGAGATTGGAGTTGTGCGCTCGCCGGTCGGTCCGTCGGTCGTCGCCGCGGCAGTCTCGTCCTGCTAACAATAATTTACTACGCGGCGCAGACGGGCGGCGGCGGCGCCGGGCCTGCCTCGGGGCACCGTCGGGTCATCACAGCAGTCACACGCGCCGCGCACGCACCGTCACGGCGTTACGCAGCCGTACGGAGCACGGGTGCGCACAGTCGCGTCACAGGTCGAGTCCACACAGTCGGCAGCCGGCGGGCGTACCTACAATTTACAAACGGCGTCCCTCCCCGCCGACCGGGCACTGGACTCTGTACAGCCCGCCTGGCCACTGCAGACAGCCGAGCGCGGCCGCGGAGGGAACCTCGCGACACGAGTCTGTTCGGCTGTCCCAGCGAGGCACCTGGCCAATGGAAAACACGCACACGGTAAAAGACACACCACTCCGCTAAAAGAGCGTCGACGACGCTTCGTTCACGCCTCACCAGTTCAAAGTTCACTCGATATTCACACACAATGGCCACTTGCGCGCGAAATAAAACGCAGACACCCGCACATCGTATGCGGAGCAGCGCCGGAGGTCCTGCGCGCAATCCAACGCACTGCGCATTGAGTACACCGTATTCGATCGTGCGCCGGGTGCCGGGGCCGGCCGTCGCCTCCACTTGAGCTACATTTGCGCTACGGTCGTCCTCAGGATACACTCTCGGCGACAAAGTGACGACAAAGATGACCACGCTGTCAAGTCGCGACGAATAAGTACCGACACACAGGGCCTTCCATTCCCGGCGCCTCGATCTCACCAGTCTTTGAGTTTACGTCACAACCCACACGCTCGTCGCACGGGATCGGGGAGGTCGGGCGTCGGTCGGACAACTGGAGGAGTAGCTCGGCTGAGGCGGTTGGCGCGCCCGCCGCCGGCTGACTAGACGCTGCCTGCGGCGGCGGCGGCAGCAGGGGGCGGCCGGCCCTTAGTCAATGTCGCTGTCGTCGTCGTCCAGGTCGCTTTCGGACGAGTCCCGCGACCCGTAGCGGCGAGCGCGCGAGGCGGCCACCGCCGCCAGGTCTGCGGCCGTGCGCTCCTTGCGGAACTCGTTCACCAGAGGGAAGATGTGCTCGATGGCGCGCTGAACGGCCGCCACCGACGGCGCTGGAAGCAGAGAGTGAGGTCAGGTCAGCAGGTGACAGAAGGTCTCAGATCGTCAGCTGCTGACTGTGTGAGTAGTGTGCGTGCGCCGTGTGAGTGTGTGTAGGGGGGGGGGGGGTAAGCAATGGTTGATAACATGAGCTGCATGATCCAGCTAGTCCCAGTATGGTCAGGTCAATGGTCCTGGCTCATGGCATACAATAGAATCGTTTTATGTTTAGCATAGTGCAGTCGTAGCACAACACGCTAATTATGCATCCTGTCAGAATGGCATGGGGGAATGGCATCATGTGACGACGAGGGCTCTCGTCTATTCAATAACAAAAAAAGCACACTCGAAGCAGTGTACTCCGATCAAAAAGAAAAATACCGCTGGAATAAATTTTTATGAATCGCTCCTAAACGGAACAAAAACAATGGCCTGACTTCGTACCGCTCAACTCGTCTCTGTTAACGCATCTCAGGAATGGCAATAACAACGGAAAGGCGGTTCAGAGTTTCACACATATTTTCGACAGAATCACAAATATCTCTGAGTCAACACACGTGACTGGACTTCGCACCGCTGCACCGACCCCAGAACTCACGCGTCACTCCCGGCATCACACGCCATGCCGAGCCGTCACCGGGACACTCTCCCCTTCGCTGAGGACTAAGGCCACACTGGCGAAAAGTACCGCTATACGGCGGTGCTCGCGTGAGCCGGCGGCGGCGGCTCTGAGGGGCGCGCCGCCGCCGCCGGCGCCGGGGTGACTGCACCCGTTCCCGGCACCGCTGGCCCTCAGCGCGGCGAGATAACCGTACCGGTGGCACGGCTGCAGACAGCGCCGGCGGTGGCCGCCCGGGCAATGATACACCTGGCGCCGCGCTGCACGGCCACTGACCCTGGCCGGCTGAGGACGCCGCTCAGAGGCGGACGGAGGACCGGCGGCGGAACGACGGCGGCGCTCCGTGACGGGTGCCGTGACAAGCAATAGTGAGGGGTTTATGGCAGCGCTAGCTCCGATGGTGTACCTTTGGGCAGCAGTTGGGGTAGCTTGGTACGCTGGGAGCTCGTCTATGCATACGCTGATGACTGAATACCGAACAGCCGCCCTTGGCACATGCGTTCCATGAACAGTAGGTCGTTGATAGATCATATCAACAGCAGTGCATCCGTACGTACTGCGCAGCAAACACTTCAGTTGCCGTCTAGTACCGATAGGTGCGACAATCCGCGGCACGCAACGCAAGTATGCGTTCCTGTCGGCTGTCTCCAACAAACGTTTTTGACAGGGGTGCACAGGGTCCGTCGAGCTCTCAGTCAGCCTTCACACAATTCCTCCGTAAATCGTCAATCGTCATCTCCTCTCTGAGGACCAAGACCGTTCTCCGACCGTTCCGTTTCGATGTGACTGATCTCACTACCCTCACTTATCCTGATATCCTGACAAGGCCGACGTACCGACTGCCGTCGCCTGTCTGCCTGTCTCCGACAGATCAAATGCCAAACGACGCCCGTTTCCGAAATGCTGACGGAGGCGCGGCCGACGGACATACCACCACAAACAGTGCAAACAAACAAATGGTGACGTCATCGAGCGTGATGCAGCGATGCCGTCCGGAAAGTCGATGAGCGAAGGTGCCGACAAGAGCCACTCCCTCATCTGTATACGGCATGAGTTTGACATACGCGACAGGCTAGCAGTGGTATAATTCATGATCGTGGCATTTGCGTTGACACTTTGCTCGTGCTGCGTGCATGAGTTATGGTTCACACCTCACACTCTATTACGTAAGTGTTCGATTTCCAATTGCGGTGCTGATTTCCCAAACATGCCAGTCTGGCCGCAGCGGCTCAATGCACGCGAGGGTGTCGCGTGAAATATGTATCCGTCGTGCGAGTCGTAATATTGGTATGAAACTTCGATGTCACGGTGACAATTAGCTATTGTCGGCCACCACACTGACCGCGCCGAAGAGATCCGGTCAGTCACGATGACTCGATTTCGTGATTATGTCCCGTGCACGGCTATATTTCGTGTTTAAACACCGAGTGTCAGGACAGCTCTGGCCTCAACAATTGGTATGTGATCTATCGGGGCAGGCTAATTGGTGACCAGGCAGGAGGCGATGCATATCATTCGGCCATGAAAGAGTCGGCAGCCTGACCCTTGATCTATCACATATCATTCCACCATGACTTGGCATTACGTGAATCGGTCATGACTAATGATCTTCACCGTTATAAAGTGAGCGATTAACATCGTTCTTGGGCTCGGTCTGCAAGTGAAGTTTGTTGGCACCATTGGAGGCAGCGAAAGACCGGTACTGAAATCATCAAGCTAACTTACCTGCAAATCGACTTAGCTGTGAAACTTGCTAACCCAGCCCAGTTTGGTTCGTCTAATCTGTGACCGATTTACGTCATATTTGATTGTGAGAGCCGTCTACGAGATGTATCCTATCCTATATCATCATGGGTTTCTTCTGTCTAGTCTGAGCGTTCTCGCCTATGATATTTATCTCAGCTATGACAGTGCGAGTCAGTACTTGAGCCACTTACCACATCCCGACTGTGAGAGCCGTCTGTGATATACTTCCACTGGGACTGAGAGGGCTGTCTGACTTCTCTCACCTGTGACTGTGAGAGCAGTCCTGTGAGTTTTCTCACCTGTGACTGTGAGAGCTGTCTCAGTTTTCTCACCTGTGACTGTGAGAGCAGTCCTGTGAGTTTTCTCACCTGTGACTGTGAGAGCAGTCCTGTGAGTTTTCTCACCTGTGACTGTGATACTGCCGGTGGAGAACACCTTGAGCGTCGCCTTGAACTCCTTGATTCGGAATGTGACGCCCGGGTGCAGTTCCGGCTCATAGCTGCCGACACGGATCGGCCGCTTATGTCAGACGGAAGACCTGACACGAGGATGGAACCGGCCCGGCGGACCGGACGGGAGGGAGGGAGGGAGGGAGGAAGTAAAGAGCGGCACGGCGGGTCGGATAGAGACGGGGGCGAGGATAGGAGGAAGGAAGGGGACAGAGAACGAGGATGGAGGTGAACGGAATCGGAGAGTAGGATTGGACGAAGGCCTGAATAGATAGGAGAAATAGTGCATGATTGGCGGACAGACGCGGATTAGAGGGACGAGGAAATGGGGATAGGCCGAGAAGGGAAATGGGATGGGAAGAGACAGTAAGATACATCAGAAAACAACGAAAAGCAGTGCTACACAGCGTGTCAAAATGCAACCGGATCAAAGAAACAGCACGGATAGAACAGGCAGATCAGCCCAGCTGGACACAGGGGCTCCGCCACAGGGGGGTACGCGGGGGTCCGGACCCCCTCAATAATTTACCTGGGGGGTACAGTACCCCCCAATATTCCTAATTACGGAGCGAGCGAAGCGAGCGGAGTCTCATACTGAATTAAGGGAAAATCCTGAGTATGAGCGGCCGGCCGGCCGGCCGGCCGTGGGGACGCTCTTCAAAAGCTAATATCTTAGGAACGGGACATCCGATTGGCAAGCGGTCTTCTTTACTGAATGTCACTTGGACGTAAAAGTTCTGTGGTGTGATGGCCACCATGCGTTCTTGCCAACCACCGCACGTGGCGCGTGGTAAAGTTGGACATCTTTTAAGAACCCCCAAAATTGCAACCTCAATAACGGCACAACGGTTGGGCCGATTGAATTGAAACTCGGTACACAGTTAGGTCTCCATCAGATAATTCATCTGCATGTGTTAAGGTTGGGGTGCTACAGCACGTGCGCACGTGCAGGGGGCGCTCCCAGATCTCGACAACGGCTGGGCCGATTGCGCTCAAATTTGCTACACGGTTGGGGACCAGTTAGTAGGGTGCCGTGCAAAAGTCAGCTTGGACCCCGCTTGCACGTGCGCACGTGCAGTGTGCCGCTTCCAGATCTCGAGAACGGCTAGGCCGATTGCGCTGAAATTTGGCACATCGCTAAAGACCGGTTAGTAGGGTGCAGTGCACAAGCTAGTTGGAGGTACCCCCTCGCAATTTCGCACGTGCAAGGCCCATCCTCTCGCTCGCTCCGTTGGTCGCCCAAAAGGCGTTTTACTGGTACTTAAAAGCTTGTTTTCGCGTAAGATTGACTAAATCATTTACAGAATTTGTTGAATAAATTAGAATGTGTTGACAGTCGCAAGGCTAAGGAATTAAGATCTAGAAATAATGTTGTGACACACACACGAATTGCTCAACACTCGCCGACCTATAATGTACGGGAGTGTCATTATTCTACCATTTTCTTATTACTATGAATGCGTTTAAGATTGCTTGGATTAGCTAAGCATGCTAGGATTGGGCTATAATTTCGTGAGAGGGGTCCAGTTTGCAGGACACCTCCTATTGCACATGAATATCCGCCCCAAAAGAGCTTCAAATCGATCTGAGAATCCTCTTACCATGTGAAGTCACCCGATAGTGCTGGGGGGGGGGGGGGTCCAAGCCGGTCTTTCGAACACTATACTAGTCTAAGCAGCCTCACACCGTTCTGAGGTAATCTGCAATAATCTGCACAGGGCTAAGAACGTTGATTTGAGAGGCCACCATGTCGGTGTCAATGGGCTCCACTTCTCGGTTTTCGATTCCTTGTGCAAACTGGACCTTGGTTTTTCGGTTTGAAGGAAAATTTTCCCGATAGCCGATAGCGATGTTAAGTTTTCTTTGAACTCTAGAAAAAAAAAACGGAAATTTATTATCGATTTCTGGAGCTGCGGGTGGTGAATTCGCCCAAAAGGCCCATCCTGGAATCACGAGCGAGGTTTTGTGTTTTGGGTCGGACCCCCCCCAATCCCAAAACCGTGGCGGAGCCCCTGGCTGGACAAGACGGGAAGTGAAAACGAAAACACGAGCGGGGCGACGTGCCGTGGCACAGCCGGTCCACAAACACTGAGACGACACGACAGCTTATATAACCGACACGGAACGGCCTGCCGGGAGCAACATCCGTGACATCGACCGCCGACCCAAAGATCACGCACACACACACACACACACACTCACTCGGGACAGTCACGCCTTACCCCCCCCCCCCCCGTTACGCCTACAAGTCCAGACATGCCATTGGAAGGCCGTCAGCCCCGGTGTAGTTACTCTGGGCTGCGCCACCCCCAGACCACGCCCGCCGACCCGGCCCCGGCCCCGGCCCCGGCGCCACCGCACGCGCCGAGAGCGCCGGGAGGGTAACTGGAAATGGCCGCAGTCGACACGGTGCGGAGCGGGAGGGGAAGGGTGTTTGGAGGGTATCAGCTGACTGGCCGCCGGCCAACAGTCCCGCGCCGCCACACCCGCAGGAGAGGGGGTGCACACTGCACACTGCACAGTGCAGACGGCCACAGTGCGGGGGTTACCAGCCGACCGGCGCGGCAGACGCCACGGATGACAGTGATGACACTCCTGCTCCGGGCCATATACGGCTGGAGATGTACTTTGCTAGTAACTAGTGAACATAGGAGTACGAGCTTAGCTGCTCGCAATTACGTGCTTAGAATGCAGGCCTATTTAACACAGCCCTCTCTCGGTCGTTGCTTCGGAGTGATCTCGTAGCAACAAACAGATAACTAAATATTCAACAAGATTTTAGCATAAAATGATCGTAAGCGACTGTCAGCTGTTGAGGAGGGTGCCGCGTGGCATGCTAACTCCGCGTCTGTCGCAATATACAGCGCTCGATTGTGCAATAGTCTCTGTTGTCCGTCAGCTGGGCAGACAGAGTTCCACGCCCGCGTCCCTCTCCCCGCCGGCTGGTTTCACTGCCGGCGTTCCGACTCCACCGAAGCGACCCTGACCGAGCGGGCGCATTGTCAGACGGAAATGACGGATGGCGGGCGCTTGTTACCAGAGTTCGGCAAATGACTGACCCGCAGTGACGGGCGGAAACTAGAAATGAGTTCCGGTTTTGGTGTAATACGATACTTGCAATAAGGGTTTCTGGGAATGGACAGAAGGGAAGGGAGGGAAGTGGAGAGTGAAACTGACATTTGTTCGAGAGCATCGCGATACAGTTTTCGTAGGTAGTGTATCCGTAGGACGTTGTGAAGATCTGTGATTGGCCGCATCCCAAAATGGTCTCAACTTCCGCCTCAGTCAAACGAGGTTGTGCGGATACGAGGGAAAGGTGTCAGACCCATGACAGCCCGTGACTAGGTCAACACTTCCCGTTCTCAGTGCTCCTCAGGGGGTAGACCAGAACATGCTGCTGCCTCTCGCCCCCCGCTGAGGTCTCACAGTCCGACACAAACCCAGTGACCCATGGATCGAGTCCGACGTGCACCCGGCGGCCGGTGTTGACACGTTTGAGCAAACAGCGAGACAGATGGCACAGAGTTCCCCGAAGGGCTAACGTGATAGATGTCAGTGATCCACATAAAACACACGGAAGACATGACAAAAAGTCACATAGCACATGACAACTTTGACCGAGTGAGCAGCTGAATCCCATTTCGATTCACTTCCCTCTGATCCCCTCCCTTCACCACCGCACACACCCCTCCCCGCACCTCCCCTCTCTCTCCCCGTCTCCGCCCCCAGCACCCAAGATTACTTTACTACTCCCCAGCACCCACTCACCAGGCCAGCCGGGGATACTTTTGCGAGAAGTCGGCAATCTTGATGGCAAACGGCATAGTGCACGTGCCCAGCACATTGACCACTCGGAAGTTGCAGAAGCGCGTCTGATAGTTCAGCCGCTTCTGGAGGTAGCGCGCCACCCGCCGGGCGGCCACCTTAGCGGCTGGCTCGGACGTGAGTCCCGTGCAGGTGATTTTACCCGATGACCACATCGAGGCGGTGGTGTACGGCTTGCGCAGCTTCATTGTTACCATCTGACGGAGGGAAGGAGAGGGTTACTCAGTGGGTAGTCGAACACTGTTGGGTCTCCAAAAAACATTGTCTCATGTTGCTAAACAAACAGGAAGAGCCGACTGATAAAAACCGTTTAAACCTGGCACCCGTTCGGGCCCCGGCGTGTCTGGAAATGCAGCCAATGTGTGAGCCCGGCACGGGGAGGAAAACCACGACCGGGGCAGGAGGCAGGTGCCAGAGAGCGGTATTTCCATATTAAACCTACAGAGTGCACTCTTTGGGCTCCGATAACAACGGGCATTGGTGCAGATATTGGAAAGAATGGTACTGGCTGGGCAATATCAATGGCAGCATTACTGATGTTACTGACTCCTCTTCTGTGCAAGACACGACAGAACCTTCAAAAAGAAACAACTCAACATTTCATAGGAAGGTGGAGGAAACATCTTATTGATTCTCATTATAAATTCAGAAGCGAGTAAATATTCAATGTTGCTGAGGTAATTGCGGAAGTTGCTGGAGTGCGCCAAAAGCTCAAAACTCCCGGCTTCATCACCAGTTCAACTTACAGAGGTCACTAAACCATAAATTCCGCCTAACAAAAGTAATGAACCCGAAAGCGCACAGCCATCGACCTCTGCAATATAAATACGGACACTGTACGGATACAATCTTATCGTGGCGCATGTCCAGCACACCTGATCTAATAAGACAAAGTCATAGTTAATCTGCGATCACGTCAAAGGGGAATGTTATCAATCATGACCATCGATCAATACGGAAACATGCAAAACGACGTGATTTGTTCCCTCGCGTGATCCCAACGACCATCTCGGATCCAATTATCGAATCCTACTCCAGCTCATTTGTTTTTAACAGTCATCAAGTGTGGATAGGAGCTCACGTTTGATACGTCGCGGAAGTCCATTGATAATTATTACAAAATCACTGCCTCACTGAAATAGACATGTCTTTATCAGCTAAAGTAGGCCTGTCTTAGACCCATCTTACAAGCTTATAGTCGTCAACTTCTTATCGTTTTCAGACCGTGAAGTGCGATAATCAAAAAGTCTGATATGAAGCACGTATGAACGAATAAATCGTCATATACTTCTGACCATTAGCACTACAGTTTCTCCAGTGGCTTCATTACGAGGTCACGATTCATTAACCCTTTTATATGTCGCGTCGGCTACAGTTGTTACCGACGCCAACTAATGTCATCTATTTTTAGAACATTACTTATGTAATCGGAGATCCGTTGGCAAGGCGCGGCGAAACGGAGTGCACTGATCCACAGTATAGTCGGCACTAATCGTCGACATCTCACGGTTGCAAACTGACGGCAGTGGCGACTGGCGGGAGGTGGTATTTTGATTCTGACTGAAAGTCTCCGTGCTACCCACCGCATAACAAGGAATCGCCCCGTTTTCTCAGTACGTCGGCTACCTGCGGCAGCGGCAGTCCACCGCCCGACGCGCCGCACGCCTATCGCCACCCCTCCTCAGCCAACCGCATCCACTCAGTTATTGAGCCACGTGTTCGCCCATCCAGCCAATGGGCTTGTAGAAGTTCAGTATGTATGGAACACTCAACCCGCTTCCGTGACGACTTCAAACTCATCCGCGTTTCTCATAGGCGGGACACTCACGCTCAACATGTAACGTTCTCCTATGGACGGGACACCAACCCACTACCGTACGAATCGCAGTATCACATCGAAAGCCGTGCAAAAGACACTCTCACTCTATCCATTTACACGCGTAACACTCACCCCGTTTTCGCGTCGGTACTCGACGTTGTCGCCGTTCATGGCGATGTAGCGCAGGTCGAGGTGACACCGCACGCTGAAGCTGCACACCACATTGTTGATGGTGATGTCCACCTCCTCCTCCACGGGCGCTTCCTCCGCCTCGCCTGCGGCGGCGGCGCCGGATTTGTGGTCCGCCGCCTGCTGTGTGTCCGAGCTCAGCTGCTCGGCGGCGGCGGCGTCACAGCCGAGCGCCGCGCCGGCCGCCTTTCCCGGCACTCCGGAGCAGTTGGAGGCGCTGCCATTGGTCATCACATTGCCAGACGCCAGTGGCTGCACTAGAGCCATCAGCCGGGCGTCTTCCTGCAACATGAGAAATGATGGCAGTTAAAGTGAAGTCAGTTTAGAAGAAATACAGCAAAAACTAAGAATTCATATTTAAGGCATGAGTCCTATGAACCCCAGCTATTTTATTGACTGTCAATCTGCCAAACGGTGTGATTATATGCCTCTTTTTCCTGAGGTCTTACCCTATAATGCAAGACAATGGAACCTGACCCTGGTGATGACACTTAGTGAAAAAATAGTAAATGAGACATGGTGAAGGCTCACTTTGCTTATCCCACTTCAATCTTCAGACTGCCATAAAATGAATGACTTCAGAAAAATCTTAGCAGCCATGAGCAATAAGTGGCTCCTATGGTATAATGGTGGTTAAGTTAGTTGATAAAATGCCTCAGTATTTTACGCTCATTAATTGAGCATGTGGAGACCAGTGACACAGCTATCATCAAGCAGGTATCACGTGGGTATTCTTTTACAATGAGGCCCTTGACCTGCCTACAGGGCACTTCCATTATATAAATAGGTCAAACTAAGTCTTTACAAACATATGCCATCTCAGCAACATTGTGATATGATGCACAATCTCATACACTGAAAATGACTCAAACAAACTATGGAAATGTTCAAAAGGTATCAAACCAAAATGTGCATAGGCAGCTTGTTTGACTAGACAATACACACATACAAAAAAAATGAAGCAAGGTACAAATTGAAAAAAAAAACATTCATATAGGTTAAGCCTGCAACAAGCAACTGCCTAGACCTAGGAGTTTGGAAAAGACTTCAGCAGCAAATGAATGTGATAAGAAAATAAGGGGCAACTCATGCCCTGTAGGCAGCTGTCAAGGGCCTCATGGCCTCATTGTAAAAGAATACCCAAGTGATAGTTGCTTGATGATAGCTTGCTCTGAACTATAGAAGCCATTCTGATGAATGTGCCACTGCCCTGAGAATGACAATCCTCATTCCTCAGGTCATAATTGCAAAATCATGAGCCTTCCAGACTGCAAGGCAAGGTAATTGCAATGAGGGCTTGCTTGCAATCACTCAAATGATTGCAAGGGCTTGCAATGAGCGCTTGTCAGCCAGTGCCTTGAATGGCCATGAAGATTTCCTCTGCTGCAATCTATCTGGATGTTGCCAGGCCAGTGTAAGAGACAATTACTTATTCCGCATAATGATGCAGATAATTGATGGATGGAAGGCAGACTGAATGGTTCAACACTATTTTCTTATCCAGTTCTAAAGATATGGAGGATGTTAATGCAGGTATCACAGTAAAATACGGATGCGTAAAATGCAGGCTGTAAAAATGTCAATGTTGCAACTTCCACACGATAAATCAAATCAAATCATAGAAAATGCAATCCATGAAAATTGACAATCAATGACATGAGGCCATTTTCAAGACTCTAGTTAACACTGTTGTTCAGGAACATACTGAAAAAATATCACAAAACAGTGAAAAAGTCATTGCAATGGCTTATAGAAATGAACAAACAGATTTAGTAGGTAGGTACACCGCATGGCGCATACAATCATCCACAGAACAAAGATTGAGATCACCAATTAACTAGTTTTTTTCACACTTAGCTGCTTAAAGTATGCCCAAAAATCACCTTTGATGGTTCCTGATTAAGCTTTCAAGAGATCCAGCGGCTTGAAACGTTTATAACAATTTTCTTGCCAAAACAGCCCACGCGTGCCAAGTCCGAAAGGCTCGGTTACGACACGCCAACCATCATCTCTCATCGCCGCGATGCCACTGATTATTCCTCCCCCATTTATGGTTTGCAGCTGAAAATGGACTCTTCCAAACATTTTTCTGGCTTTTGATTGGTTGACAAAACAAGAATATTTTGGTTTTATCAAATTTTAGAAAAAAAATGTCATCAATTGTTAACTAAAATGAGAAACATTGATTCACAAAAGACAGAATATCACAAAATATAAATTTTATGTAAAAACCTGATTAGTAGGATAACTAGAGAAGTTTAAACACTAAAATTTGTACTAGAATGCTACTCAAATTTTGATGAATTATATGACAAAATTTACTTTCAAAGAAAAAGTCATTTGCTGTAATTTCTAAAGAACTAAGTTTGAAATAAATTCAATGTAATTCAGCCAAAAAGGCCACTAAGATAGACAGGGCCGACGGTTGTAATTGAAGATAGATTTGAGACTAGATTCTGGGTGCTATCTGGCAGCACAGCTGACCTCAACGAGATCCGGCAACGCCCTGTGTGTACGTTGGGAGAGGCGAAATTTTTCAAGATAAATGCCGGATAAACCCTAAAGGAACCGTCGCGTCTTGCACGGTAGTCATGCGTTTATTTTTACATTTTTCTCTCTTGCCCTTACCGTGATACGATTGTTATATACTTGTGTATTCCGGCGCCGAAGCTCTGAATCCCAGTCTCTTTAACCCGGTTTACATAGCATATTTGATGAGGCTCTAGCTCGTTAATTTGGCGATAATTTCGATGCAGTGGTCTTCAAATATTTAAAGGGGATCATTTTGTAAATTGTTAAGCACCATTGGCATCTTTTGCAACATCACGGACGGAGATATAAGCTTGCAACAAACCCTATGTAAACGCGTCTATTCACTATGTCATTATTTTCATATATTCATTATTTTGAAGGCACTAGAAACGTGTTATATTAATATAAGTTGATGAACCAAATCATTTTATTTTTAATCAGGTAATTTCATGCCTCGTTCAATTTTAATTGTCAATACCCAGGCTGCAAAGGCATAGCGGCATTGCAGTGTAAGACAAGCCGCACCAGTTAGGGTGACAAACTCTGAAGACATGAAAGTGGCAACAAGACATTTACGGACGCTCTGAGCCCGATGAGGCTATGCGCCCTAACCCACGACCAAGACCAAGACCAATCTGAATCAGTCTACACTATCAGGCATAAGCGTTGGAAATTTGCACCACTATTTCTTACCAAAAATGTAGCTTTTTGCATGTTTAATGTTAAAACTGGTCAAAACTTCATCTAAAGGCTGTTTGTTATTCCCTAACTGACATCTCAGTCTTCTCTGTAATTTAATTATGCTCTTTTCCTTTGTTTAACCCCCTTTGCCACTGCTGATATTTTCAGGGGCAGCACCACATCTTTTTCCTGGGGGTAGGGAGGGTGGTTGATGATTCCCCTCATTCTCAAATGAGATGTTTGAATTTTGAAAACTGATCCAATTTAAGATAGGGGCAAATATATACTACAGTCTTGACATGCTGACATTGTATTACAGATCTGATTCTGCATAAGCAGTCAGTCTTTGTAGCTTGTAGTAACTATTGTGCTTTTGTTTCAGCCTGAGGCCTCTCAGCCATGCAGACCATCAAATGCGTGGTTGTGGGCGATGGAGCGGTGGGAAAGACTTGTCTCCTCATCTCGTACACCACAAACAGGTTTCCCTCGGAATATGTTCCCACAGTAAGTGCAGCTCGGAGCTCCCCTATTGGACTTGGTAATGCTCCTGATTGGACTTACTGGATGAGGTGTTTGTGTAACTCTACAATAAGCAGTGATTTGAATAGCTTGATAATGAATTTTCCATCATTAAATTGATAAATTGATTATAAAGAGAGTAGTTAGCCAATGCTGATGTCCTTGTTCGAATGTTTTTTCTCTCAATTGTGAGTCAGATGTAGGGACTAGAGTTCTGCTGTTTCCCACTACATATTAATCTACTCTCCCCCATGTACTGAATTATCAATTAGCCCATTGCGTTGTGACTTTGCCAGCTGTTCATCTCACTGTTCTCACCCCTGCCCTACCTCACCCGTCTCCAGGTGTTTGACAACTACGCGGTGACGGTGATGATCGGCGGCGAGCCGTACACACTCGGTCTGTTCGACACGGCCGGTCAGGAGGACTACGACCGCCTGCGGCCGCTCTCCTACCCACAGACAGACGTCTTCCTCGTCTGCTACTCGGTTGTGTCGCCCTCCTCCTTCGAGAACGTCAAGGAGAAGGTGGGTTATGAGAGGGGAAGGATTGCAATGAAAGAGGGAAGACAATTAGACAGCCATATCCCAGACTTAAGTTTTTTTTTAACGTGAGTTTGGTGTTGAAGAGATTGTGGATGATGTTTATCGTCGACTTGTCAGTCGTCAACGGTAGTTATTTTTTTACTATGCCCATCCTAGTGGCAAGCTTCTCACATATCTGGCTTAACAGTAACTAAACGTCCCTTTCTCGCTGTTCCGTCAGTGGGTGCCCGAGATAACGCACCACTGTCAGAAGACGCCGTTCCTGCTAGTCGGCACCCAGATCGACCTGCGAGACGACGCCGCTACCAATGAGAAGCTCGCCAAAAACAAACAGCGGCCCATCTCGCTCGAGTACGGCGAGAAGCTGGCCAGGGAGCTGCGAGCCGTCAAATACGTCGAATGCTCGGCACTCACACAGGTTAGAATTGACTGTTCTTTTTTTAGAGCGTTGAGTTGAAATAGGGTCCTTATTTTTTAGTAGCGAGGAACGCAGTAGTGATTTTCGGCTGGTAGGGTTTTCGACTCGAGCGGATGTTTGGTTGACCTTGAGGTTGATACTGCTATGCTGCTGTGGGAGCGATAAGGAAGTTTGTGCCCCTGGGCCTGCGCCATAGCATGGCATTAAACAGCGCTTCATTATCTTGCGTCATGAACTAAAGAACGGTTGTTCGTGGAATGATAACACGCAGCATTCTAAACTCAAGTAGCTCGCGGCTCCGCTTAGGTAGATTTGGTCGTTGCTGCGAGATGTAATATTCTGAACATGCATAATGAGATGAATTCCTCATCCATTACTTTGGTTGGCATTGCTGGTAGTTTTGAAGCCTTTCAGTAGACAAAGCAGCGTTTAAATCCGTCGATGTGTGCAGTTCTTGTTCAGTGAGTAATTGCGTGACGTGGCCGCACGACAAGGACAACCATTACGTAAACAAAAGCCACTGCAGCCCGCTCCGTTTGCAAACCAGTCGGATATAACCGCTGACTATCGCGTACGTGGCGACTATGCACCGATTGTGAAGTGTTACCACAATTGAAAATGTAGTGTCGATGTGTCAAATGAACGCCGTCTTCAGGCACCGCAAGGAAAATATGAGTAGTACTTACATTCGATGTTATTTTAAAGTCAAGTGCTGGTTTGATAGGTAACAAGCTTCTTGATTCGGTGATTCGTCGGCTAGGTCATCTCAAATTGTTCGTTTCTGACCGCAGGACCCTTACCGCCTTTTCCCGTCTCTGATTGTCTCTAACCGTCTATTCCTGTCTCTGACCGCCGTCTCTTACCATCCATTCTCGCCTCAAACACCGTTTCTAACCGCCTATTCTCGTCTCTGACCGCCCGCTCCCCTCTCCGTCGCCCCGCAGAAGGGTCTGAAAAACGTATTCGACGAGGCGATACTGGCGGCGCTGGAGCCGCCGGAACCACCCAAAAAGAAACGCTGCAGCATTTTGTAATTGTGAGTACCACCGACAGCGGGATCTCGAACACGGCCCAGGGTATTACGCGGCCGAAATATGAAGGTCGATGGGCGGTCGGACATTCTCAGAACCCGCTCTGGTCCGAGTATTGAGCCAGGGATTCCCCGAGGTGCGCGCCGCGCGGCTGCTCTGTAACGATCGCCCTGTTCGTTTGCTCTGTGTCCGGCCTTCGATCGGACCCGGTGGTGTTACCGCTGCCATGGCAATGAGCCTGTCGGCTGTCCGGATTAGGCAGACTCGCGGAATCGAGATTAAATAATTGCACATCTTGGTAGTAATGAGCTGCATTTCATCATTAGTGCTCAAGCTCATGGTTCGACACTCTAGCTCGATTCTGGATTGTGTTTTGCTTGCCTTGCGATTTCTAGGCGTGCTGTGACCTTTATGACCTGACCGATGGTCTGTTTCCATTCCAGCTATCGCCCGGTCGCAGCACCTGGCAATAAGCACGGTCTGGACCGCGCTCATGTGAGCGCGGGCCGGAGTCGATCCAGAGTCCAGCGCTCTGGGAGGGCGGAGTTATACGGAGCAACACCGACCTGAGGATCCGGACGGTTCCGGGCAGATCCGCTGAGGAGCTGTCGAGCTGTCGGTGGGTCTGGGTCCACTAAACCCACTCCAGGCACCAAGGGGAGGGCGTACAGGATGTACGGACTCGAACTCCAGCCGGGAGTGTTGGCCAGCCGCCACCCGATGGACGGCAGCCTGTGGTTCTTTCGGGCTCACGGGAGTCTGGTATTCGCTTCCATCCGACTGTGCAGACTGAGCGGAGCGAGCGAGGCTCAGCGGTCGTCTACCGCGCTCGACTGGTGAGGAGATGAGACTATTTATACGGTGTTCCGAGGCGACAGGAACGGCTGGTCGAGGTCGATAAGAGACCGCTGGCTGCTGGAGAGAGTGAGAAAACTGAGAGATATGAGCCCGAGAGAGAGGGAAAGAGCGAGAACGAGAGAGAACGAGTGCGTGCCGCTGTGTATGATGTGTCGCCGCCATGGCCAGAGCTGCCTAGATCTATCGCTCACCCACCCCGCGGCACAGGGCGGCAATACCAAATTATCGTGTATTTACCTTGAGTGACTGGCAAATCGTGCGTGAGGAGAGGAAGGTGCCGTATTATTTACGTACTAACCCGGCGGACGACGCTGCGCCGAGCGGTCACCGTGCCCAGAGGAGGACTTGTTTTCGTAACATTGTGTATGATACCGCGGGAGAGAGAGCGAAGAAATGTGTCCTGTCCAGATTTATAAGTAATTGATTAAAATAAAGCTACCACAATTCCGAATTCATTGTTTTAAGTTCAATAGGCTCTTTGGCATTGATTGGTAATCGGGCAACATCCATGAAGTTAAGGTTGCAAAAGGCGCTGGGGAAGCGAGTCCATCCTGTCCGTCGGTGATTGCTATCGAGCATTTACTGATGTGAAAATGAAAGCTGAACACATGATTGCTTCAACGTCAAGAAATGCTTTTTTACACAAGTCGCATTTTAACCTTCAAATTTTACGACGAAAAAGGCAACTGATGGCATTTAAAAGGCTCGCATTGAAATAACAAAACTGTATCATGTAAAATACAATGCATCTCACTGTGCCCCTCCACCCGTACTGGAGATCACGGCTCATCGAGCGCGTAGTTTCTGCCGTAGAGCTGTGCCACCAGCAGTCTGCCGGTGTTGGCCACCTCCAGCTGTCCCGTCGGACGGTTGTAGAACCACTCGGCCGCCAGCTCCATGTGGGTACGGATCACAGACGGGAACACGGCCCAGCCGGCGCCGAACGAGCCCCGGAGCGAGAACGGGGCCGGCGGCGGCGGCGGGACACCCTCAGGGAACGTACTGCACGAGGCCTGCTCGGCCCCCGCGCACAGTACCACCGCGCAGATGCGCGTGCTCCAGTGAGGCGCGAAGTTGCGCCGTCCGTCGAGCACCAGGAGGCGGTAGGTGGCGCCGGACTCTGCGGCAGCCACAGGCCGCTGCTGGCTGACGGTCAGGTCACAGCAGAACTCCCCGTCACACAGACGCTGGGACTGGCCGCTCAGCGGAGCACTCACGAACTCCGACACGTTGTAGTTCTGTATCGGGTAGTAGTCGTCCGTGTTACCGGCCGCGGGTGAGGACGGCACCTGACGGCCGGCCGGGGCCTGGTCGGAGGGACAGCTGTCCGACCCCCAGGAGCAGCCGGCCGGCACGGTGGCGGTCACCACGCCGCCCTCGGCGCCATCAGCGCTGTAGTCGTACAGGTAGCCGAGCGCGCCGCTGCCGGTGAAGATGCCGGAGCCGATGCTGCCCTCGGACAGGTAGTGGAGGCCGGAGGAGAGCAGGGTGACGCCCAGACCGCGCGGCCAGGCGCTGTGCATCTGCAGAGCTGCGACAGACAGGGGCGGTATGGAGTCAGATGGGGACACAGATAACACGTCTCACAAGTATGTAGTTGTGTGTGATGAAGGCAGGTTATTGAGACCGTCTGAAGACGGGAGACTGGAACCTTCAGGTATAAAACTTCTTTGCCTTTCGCCAAATGTTCATGAATCGCATGCTAGAAAGCCATCTGTTTACTGAGGTCACTCAAGTCAAAGAAGGCCATTCATGCGTACTGAACTGCTGGATCACAGCGACGCGGCATGATTTGCTCGTTTCCCTTTCACCCACCCGACCAGTGATCCCCCACCGCCCTGCCACCTACCGGAGAGCGAGGGCAGCTCGTCGCCCCAGTCTGTCGGGAAGGCGAAGTGGGTGACGCCCCGACGCGTCATCTCCACGCCGGGCAGCTCGAACAGGACGTCGAAACACGTCATCAGGCCGATGACGGCGCCGAAGTCGGTGCGGAAGGCCGAGAGGTGCGGCGCCGGCTTCTGCAGGTGCTCCAGCTCGATACCGAACAGGTTGTACTTGTGGTAGCTGCCGGTGAAGGAGATCAGCTTCATTCGTTATGGTTACAACACTGATTGAGGTCGGTCAAGTTAACTGAGTTCCGTGGTTTCAAGAGCGCATATCACTTTACTCAGTTATCCAACGCCATCTATGTGTCAAGAACCTTGGTTTACTTTGTCTCGCAACTTCGAAGAGCGAATGCATGAAACATAAATTTGGAGCGACTGTTCAATATGCATCATGCGTGACACCATAGAAATGCTGCAAAAAAAAAAAACGTTTCATCAAACTCAGCACTGTGTGCAGCCCCCGACGTCTCACGTTTGTATGAGGGCGCCGGTCCGGTCAAACACCAGGTTTGTGTTGTACAGCGAGACGCCGTCCTCGGGACAGGCCGAATCCGAATCAGCAGAGCACAGCTCCTTGGTGACGAAGTTGGCCACGATGTACATCTGGTGCTCCCGCGCCAAACAGCTCAGGTTGCGTATCGCCTGGGCAGGGCGAGTATAGGTCAGTGGAGGACTCAAGCATAGAAAGCAAAACGTTGGAGGCTTGCTTACAGAAAACTACAAAAAGTATGTGACTTACGGACCGACCCCATTGACCGATCTCATTCCTATCTGACGGTCACTGGCAGGACCAAAGCCGGATCGGGAAGGCGTTTGTGATGGTGTACCCGAGAATGCAGAACGCGGCAGAGCCGGATTCAGCCTCGGGTGACTGTCTCGTGCACACTAACGTCGGTTGGACCGTCTGGTGGGGACAGGTTGTCGCTAACATTGACCACTGAAGGGAGGGACGTAACTACTCGTTGCTCACCTCGTGCTGCGCTGGGTCGTCACAGATGACGACCATGTCCTCGACGGGCGGCAGCTGGGCGGCGTACACGGCGAGCTGGACGCGCGGCCACACCTTCAGAATGGCGTACTCGGCGAGCACCAGCAGGTCAGCGTCCTGTGGGTCGGATCAGGGTGTCATCAGAGGTCAGCTGAGTCAGAGGTCAGCTCAGAGCCCTGTGGATCAGCATAGGGTGCCCTCGGAAGTCAGCAGGGGTCATCTCAGAGCCCCTCCGGATCGGTACAGGATGTCCGAGATCAAAAGGGGCGACATGTCTGACCATACCCATGACCGCACCCGATTCGTCAGCACGGGTCGCCTCACTTATCAATGATGTCCTATTCAGCGATTGAGGAACAAGCAGACCATAACACCGCAATGAGAATAACAGTGACATAATCTGCGCCCCACCAACGGGCGCAGGTCTCACCAGCCCAGCATCCCACGCACCTGCTGAGCGGCGGCGGCGGCGTGGCGGCGCACCGTCTCCAGGTTCCGCCGCCAGGGGGCGTCTGGCTCGGCGGCCAGGTCCTGCTCCGGGTACCCCTCCGCCCAGACAAACTCGGACACAGCGGCTACGAACGGACGGGGTGTGACCGGAGCCGCTGACGAGGGACGGACGTCCAGCTCCAGCTCCGACGGCGAGAGCGCAGAGGTGGCGCCGGTCAGCACCAGCAACAGCGCCAGCGCCGGCGTCAGTGGTGACGGCATGGCGGCCCGAACTGTGGCTGAGAGAGCGACGAGTGGTCGGGTTACAATCAGAATGTAAAGGAAAGATGTGCAAACGGTGGAAAAGGCGTATGTTGCCACCATAGGCGGCGGAACGGGGAGGGCACCGGGGCACCGTGGCCCCCTTTGATTTTGGCATTTTAACATTTAAGCCCTACGGGCGTTGCATGGAAAGAATGGGACCAAAAGTCGGCAGTGCCCCCTCCCCTTAATTGAAGGTGTTCCGCCGCTACTGGTTGCCACATGCCAATCAGCACTCGCTAACTAGATCGGATGAGCTAGATAAGGGTTTAACTGTGCATGGTAACCTTAGCCTAGCTTGTCGAGCCATCGCCTCTAGTATTGTTTGATAAACGAATGTGGCATCAAACACTGGGCTATCCCGTTCTAATGTTGCTTTTTCAACAAGTAAGAGCGCCTAGCTGACTGGGATCAAGGGTGACATCAACAAAGTCGAGTCACGGTCTGAGGGCCTCATGACCCCTGAGGCCGGTCTGACCAGTTGCCCCTTCACCCCTGACTCTCCCCTCCTGGGTGCCAGTGACGAGTGAGGCCCCCAGGGACGACCACCAGCCGTATCTGGAACGGGGTACCCCCGCGGCTGGACCTCAGTACTCATACACAGCCTGTATTGACCTCACAGCCTGCTGTCTCCGACAGTGTCTGGACGAGTGCCAGATAATTGGGCACAGCTCCAAGGTGACCCAGGCTATTACTGTTTTATATTGCGTCTAATCTGCAAACACCGGTTTGCGGCTTTATTCATGTGGTTCGCTACGCTGATGCGCTGTTGCTGTCGGTTTAGATTTTCGTCGATGCTTACCTCACACCCCATACTGATAGCGAATTGTAATTACTTCACAACAAATCGTTGTCGACTGTTTAAACTGAAGCACTCAAACAATGTCAAAAGGCGTTACAAGCGTCAGCTTAACGTTATCGTCTGCAGAGCCATAGTCTGTATCTACAAACAGCAAACACAGATAAGAAAGCGACATCGCCGACCACGTTTGCTGACAGCATCACTCTAACACCGGACAATGACGCAGCAGATACTGTCTGACCTTGTGTTCAGAGCATCCCCGGTATTTAACCCGCCCTCCCCCCCCCCCCACATTCTACTCACCGGTACAACTCACCCGTATATGACGGAGCTCACCACCGGGCGCCCTCCCGTCACAAACCGCCGGCGAGAACTGAGGCGCCACGGGTGAGCGATCGGACCGTGCCCTCGGTTATACGACGGACTGTCTGAGGGAGGGAGACAGACACGAGGGGCCACACGCGGGTCACATGGCACTGGTGTGGAGGCCGCGGGAGGGGAGACGGGGGGGGGGGCGCACATGTGTGCCGGGCTCCACGCGATTCCTAACACCCGTGTCCCTATGACCAGAGTTCCGGCCACGAAGCCGTACGACCTTTGCCCCTCAGTGGGGCGCGGGCCAATTGTGACCAGTCATGCTGCGCTGTAACAGAGACCTTCTGGAATTGTTGCGATCGATGGGGTGACGGCGACGTCCCGCATCATCTGATGACATGTGGCCAAAGTTCTGTTTGGGCAGATGTTTAGCATAGGCCGAACGATCCCCTGATTTGCGTTGTAAGTGCCAGGGAGCCGGTCACAGCTGTGTACATACATGGGCCAGTCGTGTGGATGCGACAAGAGACGACAGCTTACAGAACAGTGCCACTTCAACGTCGATAGCTGGACCGGTTCAAGTACCCAAATGCTACATACAAACTAACTCCAAAACTCTAGTGTATAAAATACGACAATGCGAATATCCACACATTTTTATTCGCCACCTTTACACTCAGCATCTCATGCAGAGCCCACAAATCACTACA